TCACACATATTGGGTCCTCTATCTTACACAATTATGCTACGGCATTACAATTACAAGATGTGTTATGTGCTCCTACCATCAAGCGTAAACTTATTTCTGTGGCCAAGCTTTGTCGTACTAATCCCATTTCGGTGGAATTTTTTTCTGATTGTTTTGTTGTGAAGGATCTTCGCACGGGGGCGCCACTGCTGAAAGGGGCAAATAATGGGGATGTCTATGAGCTGCCAAGTGATGTGGATAACGTCCGTCTTGCTCTTGTCACCACGCGCACTTCCTCGGCATCCTGGCACGCTCGCCTTGGTCACCCCTCCACTCATTCCCTTACTAGTCTCCTTCGCACACATTCCTTACCAGTAGCATCCTCTCCCGTCAGTAGTCATTGCAATTCCTGTCTTTCGAATAAGAGTCATAAACTACCTTTTGCAATCTCTTCTTTATCTAGCACAAGACCATTTGATTTACCGTACACGGATGTTTGGGGGCCCGTACCGGTCACCTCCATTGATGGTTTTCGTTATTATTTAATCATCGTTGATCATTTTTCCCGTTACACTTGGTACTATCCTTTAAAACGAAAATCTGATGTTCTTGATGTGTTTCTTGCTTTTCTTAAGATGGTTGAAAACTATTTTTCCACCACTGTTCGCCGTCTTTACTCGGATGGTGGTGGCGAATTTCACAAACTGTGCTCCACTCTTGTTGCTCATGGTATCAGCCATCTCCTCACCCCTCCTCATACACCTGAGCATAATGGTCTTGCTGAACGAAAACATCGTCATCTTGTTGAAACGGGTATATCTCTTCTGCATCATGCTAATTTACCTCTATTTTTTTGGTCTTTTGCGTTCTCCACTGCTGTATACTTGATTAATCGTATGCCCTCATTTGCATTACATGGCCAAATTCCTTATACTACTCTCTTTAACATTGTTCCCAATTATCATAAACTCCATGTTTTTGGGTGCTTGTGTTATCCTTGGTTGCGTCCCTACTCGTCCCATAAACTTGATCCTCGCTCCCGTCCTTGCCTGTTCCTTGGTTATTGTCCTCAGCGAAGTGCGTACAAATGTTTCGATCCTCAGGCCCAGCGTGTTTTTTTATCTCGTCATGTTCGTTTTGTCGAGCATTCGTTCCCTGGGTTCTTGTCTAACCTCCCTGCAGATTCCTCATTGGTGGACTCTTGGCTTCATGACAGCGGGCCGCCTATCACTTACTTGCCACTCAGTGCGGCCCAGCCCAGTTTGGCTTCTCCATCTGCCCCAGCAGCTCCAGGTGCCTCTAGCGGAGATTCTCCACACGGACAAAGCCCCCTCGGCCCGACTTCGCCTCCTGGGCCCGCGTCCTCGGCTGTCCCTAGCCCGGCTTCGCCTCCTGGGCCCGCGCCCTCTTCTGTCCTTTGCCCGGCTTCGCCTACTGGGCCCGTGCCCCCTTCTGTTCTCGGCCCGACATTGACTTCAGGGCCCCCGCCCTCCTTGCTGGCCTCCTCTGGCCCCGCTCCACTCCCTCGGCCGGCCCAGCCTACCAGGCTTGAGATATCCTCGCCACTTCCAACAGCATCTCAACCTCATGCTCCACCGCCACTCCTCCGTACTCATCAGATGACAACGAGGGCTCAAGCTGGCATTTACAAGCCCAAAAGACTATTTCAAGCCAACTTCACCAACCGCACGCCACCCCTTGAGCCACGCTCTGTCCGGGAGGCCATGCAGTATACTGAATGGGATACCGCTCTTCGCCAGGAGCACTCTGCTCTAATTCGCAATCACACATGGGATCTTGTTCCCCGTCAACCCCACTTTAATGTTCTTGGCAACAAATGGGTCTACCGCATCAAGCATCACTCCGACGGCTCTATCAATCTCTTCAAATGCCGCCTTGTTGCGAAGGGTTTCCATCAACGACCGGGTGTGGATTTTCATGATACCTTCAGTCCGGTGGTCAAACCCGTTACCGTACGGACAGTTTTCTCTGTCGCCCTCTCCCACCATTGGGCTATCAAGCAATTCGATGTTAACAACGCCTTTCTTCAGGGACCCCTCGAGGACGAGGTATACATGGTACAACCTCCTGGCTTTGTTGATCCTACATATCCTAACCATGCTCGTCGTCTCCGGCGTGCCATCTACGGCCTGCGGCAGGCCCCTCGAGCATGGTACACTGCTCTCAGTTCCTTTCTCCTCCACTATGGCTTTCGGAAAACCAACTCTGATGCGTCCCTCTTTGTCTATCACCAGTCCGGGATTATCATGTATTTCCTGGTCTATGTCGATGATCTCTTACTCACCGGCAATGATGCAGCCACTCTCTCTGTTTTTCAGCAGGCTCTGGCGGACAAGTTTTCTCTTAAGGAACTTGGTGATGTTAATTACTTTCTGGGTATTGAAGTCATTCCTACACCCACTGGTTATATCCTATCTCAGCACAAGTATATGACAGATATCCTTACTCGTTTTCATATGTTGGATGCTGCCCCGGTCTCTACACCCCTTGCTTCCACTGTCTCTCTCTCTCTGAGTGATGGCACCTCTCCTACTGATGCTACACGATTTTGCCAAATCCTTGGGGCACTTCAGTATCTGGTATACACACGTCCGGACATTGCCTTTGCCGTCAACAAGCTCTCTCAGTATATGCATGCTCCATCATCCCATCATTGGCAGTGCCTCAAACGATTGCTCCGCTACGTTTGTGGTACGATTTCCTATGGCCTGGCTATTCGGCGAACTTCTGATCCTCTGCGTCTCACGGCCTTTGCTGACTCTGATTGGGCTGGCAATCTCGACGACCGTACATCCACATCCGCTTACCTGGTCTACTTGGGCTCCACCCTCATCTCCTGGCGTTCTAAAAAACAACGCACCGTTGCTCGCTCGAGTACTGAGGCTGAATATCGGGCAATCTCCCATGCTGCCGCCGAGTTGGAATGGGTCCAAAATCTCCTCACAGAACTACATCAGCCTCTTACTGCGTCACCCACCCTATTCTCCGACAATCTTGGTGCCACCTGCTTCAGTGCTAACCCACTCTTCCACTCTCGCATGAAGCATTTAGCTCTTGACTTTCACTTTGTTCGACAGCTTGTGCAGGATGGTCGCCTCACCGTCCGGTACATTCCTACTGCACACCAGCTCTCCGACATGCTCACCAAATCGTTACCTGCCTCGCGCTTTCTTCTCCTCAGGTCCAAGATTGGCGTCGTCGACACCTCCTCCATCTTGCGGGGGCGTATTAGAGGAAAAGAATAAAACAATTCTTTTATTATTCACTCATATTAGTCGGCCCACTCCTCCTATACACTAGCTCTCTCTCTTGTACACTACCCGTCAAACTCTCAACAAATCCCCTGTACTCGTGTATAAAGCTCAACTGAATATACAGAAGCAGATCAAGTTTGATTGCTCTCAGATTCTATCTACAACAAATCCTCCTTCTAACAGCTTTTACCAGGCACACCCAGGTGCACATATTCTTATAACAAGATCACATCCTAACAACATCTCTTGTTGGCGACCACTTATTGAGAGCGAACCAACATACTAGACCGATTGTAGATTTCTATTGGCGAATTCTGGCGCCCATATATTAAACCAACATGCTCACCTTTCATAGGGAGGTTCATGTTGAAGTCTCAAAGTAAGGTTCTCGTTCATGTTCACATGGTTGAGTCTCTCTTTAGTTTTGATTTGTTACTAACTTGGACATCAAAGTGTCCCTGCACGTGCAACTGTCAACGAGACGTTTTTGAGGTTCCACTAGAGCAGAGCACGATAAAAGCTTCTCCAGAGGTTCGAGTTGGCACATGAATAATCCAATGGTGCAATAAGGACATAGAGAATCAAACGAGCTCAAACCTTGGTATCCATTTTTCTTTATTATTTTTATTATTAATAACAGCAAGCTGAATTTTCTACGAGCATAAATTTAGCTTGGCATCAACATCGTAAAAAAGCTTACTTTATAAAAATAATTAACCAACCATGTATTTTTCAAAAACAGTATAATCACTTTAAATTAATAATCGATAAAATAATAACTTAGTATAAATTAATAATTTCTCCGGTCTCGAACTGGGCCAATGTAAAAAATGAGCAAATTTAATAAAATAATAAGATAATAATTTTTGAGAACCAGCTTACATATAGACATGTATTTTTAACTCTATAAATTAATTGTAAAAATACAATTCATCTAGGAATTTAAAATATAGTTAGGATAATCTAGTAAAATATGAATATATATTTGTTTGTTTATTCTTGAAGTTCAAGTCTAATAGAAGTTCTTCTTGACTAACTTTCAAATGGAAAGTTAGTTCAAGCCACACCATCAAATCTTTTTGGGTGCATGAGGGATGATCTCTCTTGTACTCACGCATTTCTGTTTACGTATTTGATCTGTCGTGGTGGACTTTTGGACACCTTTCAAATGAGAAGCCATTGTTGAATATGATTTTTACAATGTTTCTGTAGTACTATTTATAGTGATCGGGTCACCATATATTCGATGAATTATATTGAATGTATGATCAATGGCACAGAAGTGCAAGTAACTTAAAACATGAATCTAAACCATCTACAAGAATACATCGAATAAATCTATCTTGGAAGGATAGATAATTTTCTTCTATTAAATTTTAGTACAATGAATACATAAAATGTGATAAATTATTATCGTATGAACTTGAAATGTTTGGAAGATACGATGAACGTATATCATAAGAAAAACCTCTTTAAATTAATAATTAATCAATTAATTAATAATTATTATAAATTAATAAGTTTCGCGGTTACGACCATATTAATCTATAGAAATTATATTGTATTTTTATAATCAGAAGTCAGAACTCCTGATCAGACATCAGAAAGAGACAGACGCACGAAGTGAGCTACCGAAGTTAGTAGATGGATTTTACTATAAAAAAAAATAAGTAGATAGATGGGCCTGACTTCTGAATAAGCCCAACGGAATACCTGGACCGTTATAACCTAAACACACAGCCCGCAGTGCATTCATTCCCTTGAACTGAAAAAGCGGCCCATCACTCTCCCTATCCAACCGGAAGACGAACCCTAATGAGCAGAGGGGGACGATTACGGAGCTGGAGAAGGATCACCAACCGTTTATCTCATTTCCTTCGCCGGTAGCTTCTCTAAACCTCAGCCGTTGAGTGTTTTCCCCCACACTACCTGCCTTATCATCCCCTTCCTTCAGAAAGAAACAGACCCTCTGCAACTCCAATTGGCGGAAAACGACTGAGCCGAGAGAGGGAGAGCTTTTTTCTCCTTTGTCCTCCAAAATCCTTGTCTGCAGATCGATTCTGGGTGCCTTCGTTTCTCCACTCCTCTGCCGAGATCTGCCCCGATCTAATTGCTGTCTGCTCCGTTATTCTGCAATTCGTGAATTCGCCCCCAATTTCAATTGCTCCCGAGAATGCCTCGTTTAAGCCCCGAGGACATAGAGGTAATCGAGTTATTTGAGTCAGCGAAGAAAGCCGGCGATGCCGCCGTCGGCGACGATATCTCCTCCAACGGCCCGGAGGTCGGTCGATGCGTCGATGCCCTCAAACAGCTCGGAGATTACCCAATTACATACGAGATTCTGGTCTCCTCTCAGGTGCGTTGTCTCTGCTTTCTCCTTGGCCTTAAAAGTTGACTTCTTTGCTCAATTCGCAGTTTCCATTTCCGGATTTTCGGTTCCTTTTGTAAATTTCATGTTTACTTTTCTGTTTCATGTATCAAAACCAAATTCAAGCTGTCCTCGTTTTTTAATCAAGTTCTGTGCTTTGGTTTTCCTGAACTCTGTTGGATATGAGATAAGATAAGATTGGTTAGACTTTGTTCATGGTCTCAAATTGCCAATTTCTTCTCTGTTGATCATTAAGTATTTCTCAGGGGCCCTTCTCTTTTCTCCCAACCAGGCTGTTTAGCCTTTTATGCTCATTTCCAGGGATTATATGTCTACTAAGGGAATGCTTCCATTTTTATCATCCACAAGCTATTGTAGGGTATCAATCTAGCCTTACATATATTTCATCTTCCTTCGAGACTGGTTGCACCTCTCAGTTACACACAACCCCATCGAAAGGAATGTCCATTTGCTTGAGCTTTTCTGTGACTGGATGCTTTTCTTAATTAGGGAGCTAGGGTCGTTCAGGCTTAAGCATTACTTTTCTAGTAGTCTCTATCCAATAATTGTTCTTCTACATGGATAGTTCTGAATGATGACAGTCGTTCATTTTATTTTTATTTTTTTTGGTTGGGATGCTATTTCTGCTTTGAAGAAAGCAATGGCATAAACTTTCTTATGTGCTCTGCTTGCTTAATGCTTTTAGTCTCTTTGGCTTTTTTTTTCTTTCTGTTTTACTCTTCCCTGCTCACCTCTTACCTTCATGCCACCTTTCTCTGCTGACTACCCATGTTGAATTTGCTCTAGAAATGAGTGGTAGTAATGCCTTTTGATTATACTTCTTTCGAACTTCAACCTTACTGTGTTTCAGGTTGGGAAACGACTGCGAGCTCTAACCAAGCATCCAGTACATCAGATCCAAACCATTGCTAGTGACTTGCTCGAGAGTTGGAAACAGTTGGTTGTGAATGAGACTACTAGAAGGAAACAAGCTGAAAAATCTCCAACTGCAAGCGCTGTAAAAGTAGAAAAATCACCAAAAGTTGGATCAATTAAAGTTGAGAAAGAACAATCATCATCCAATGGAGCAGTGAAAGTCGAGAAAGCAAAATCATTCTCCAATGGAGCAATCAAAGTCGAGAACAGGGCTCGACCGGACACTGTAAAAGTCGAGAAGACAGTAGTGAAGGAAGAGATAAAATCTCCCCATGTCAAGAAACCACCACAGCCAGCAGCTATTGCTCCTCCAAAACTCAGTTCTCTAGTAAGATGCAATGATCCCTTGAGGGACAAAGTCCGTGAACTTCTTGCCGAAGCCCTAGAAAAAGTTGCCGGAGAGGTTGATGATGATCTTAAGCACGAAGTACGTGCACGAGATCCCATCCGAGTTGCTGTCTCAGTGGAATCCGCAATGTTTGACCAGTTGGGGAAGTCGAATGGGGCACAGAAGTTAAAGTACAGATCTATCATGTTCAACATCAAGGATCCTAAAAACCCAGATTTGAGGAGGAAAGTGCTGCTGGGTCAAATTAACCCCGAGAGGCTCATGACGATGACCCCTGAAGAAATGGCGAGTGACCAGAGGCAGATGGAGAATAAACAGTTGAGAGACAAAGCTATGTTCGAGTGTGAACGTGGCGGCCCGCCACAGGCCACGACTGATCAGTTCAGGTGCGGGCGGTGTGGTCAAAAGAAGTGTACTTACTACCAGATGCAGACCAGGAGCGCAGATGAACCCATGACTACTTACGTAACGTGTGTAAACTGCAGCAACCGCTGGAAATTCTGTTAGAACTGTCATCTGGTTGGGATTGTTTGCCTTTTCTTCTCTCTGCAACTTCTTCATGAACAAAGCAGGGTTAGGCAGCATTCTTAATTAATTTTAATTGTGTCTTCTGAGATTCAGATTAGAATCTGTTTCATGTGATATCATAGTTGTACTCTATGGTTTTCTGAGTCGAATAGATGCTTGGTCCTTTGGTTCTGTGCTATAAGTTGTAACTGGAATAATTGATGATTGTGAAAAGCAGCGCACTTGGTTGTAAGAGTATTCTTGTAGACTGTAAGGAGCTCACAGTTGTTGTAGACTTCTAGTAGTGAGTTTTGATGGCATAGATGCATTAGTAGCAAGCATCGTCTTGTTGCTGTTGAAATAACACTATTTTGAAGAGATTGTGCCATAAACTTCTCCATGAACATGGAATTCTATCATAGTAGAAAGTGTTTCAAATTCATAAGGCTCCAATAAGGTTTTTGAACATAGGCAAAGGTTCAAGCTGATCATCCCAATCAAACATCGAGACGATGGCCAAGCAGAGAAAGTTGAAGATAAACCCGCAAACAGTACACAAACTAGACAGCAACAACCAGTTGTTGTTGGGTTGAAATGGAATTTGAGCTTGTGCTTGAGCAGCATGGACTGTCATTCCCACGCTGCTGCTGCTGCAATTCGCTGCTTCCTTCGTCTTCTTCTGCCATCGCCTCTTCATCGTATCCGCGGCTTAGCTTCCTTTCTTGCTCCTTCTCTCTAAGCGACCGAAGCGGGGAAATCCTCTGTTTGTAGAATCGCAATTGTTAACCAATATGGCGAAATTCATCAATTTACAGAAAGGAGTCAGAAAGTAGTGTAGGGATTTCTTACCGTGGAGTAAGAATGGAGCTCCTTCAATCGAAAGAGCCGATCCACCTCCATCTCCATCATCATCTGGGCTTCTGCCCTCGCTTCCATCTCCTTCATCTGCAGATCCAGCACCCTATCTCTCTCCTTGAGCATCTTCTCCGTCTTCTCTCTGTCCGACCTCAGCCGCTCCATTCTCTTCCGCATCGCGCTCAGCTCCTCCGCCAGGGATGAGTCGATCGGCGGGATGGACGGCGGCTGCTGGACGGGCTTTTTACGAGCTGGAGGGGTGGCATAAATTGGACACTGATTCCGGTTCTCCTTATCCCCGCCGCTAGAAACATAGACGTTGACATTTCCCAAATCTGGCTTCGGGAGTGGCTTTGTGGAGATCTGGACTACCTCAGACTCAGAGGCGGGTAGTGAGTTCTTGGGTTGCAGAGGCTTCCGGCCACTGTTTGGCCTCGGCTTCTGGTCGCCGGTGACTGGAGACTGGAGGAATTGCATTTTTTTTTCTCTAGGCTTAGCTACTAGCTAGATACCGGGGTCGGGGGCTGCTAAGTGGAAATGTGGAATGAAGAGATGAGAATGAGATGGAGAAAGTAAATAGGAAGGAAGCGAGATATTGGGGTAAGGGAGAAGTTTGAATTCGAATGAGAACAGGCGCTAACGGCTACACTTAGCTTTATTTCTTACTTTATCTTTTATTTATACTAGTACCAAGCCCGACCTTTAATCAGAAAAGTTTACCCAAAAATTTATGAAAATAACCATGCTACCAATATAATAACAAGAAAAGAAATAAAAAGTCAAAATAAATACAGATCTTCAAGAAGGGAAAGCAAACTTAACTCCTAAAAGTCCATATATCATGAAACTTAAGAATTAAAGAAAAAATTGGTCTATGATAGAGTTCAATACCTCTTTATAGTGTTTATCCTAGTAGACATCATCCTTGTTGAATACAGCGCGTGCAATGAATATGAAGTTGTAGGATTTGAAATATATTAGGTATGATGCTAAATTGTCACTAATAGTTAGTTGAACAATGTAGAAAGAACGGGTGAATTTCCAAATGACTCGCATGTCACGGATATAGCCAGCAATAATATAGTTATTTCCCTACAATGAAACAACATTTTTAATGAAATAAGTTGAAATAATAATAGTGTATGATTAGTATAAAGATTGGAAGAGAGGGTAATAAAGAAATTTAAATTAACAAAGGTCTTACCATGACTGAAGTACTTAATCGAAATGTAGTTAAGTATGCAATTGATCCTATTTTTGCTCGTTCCTTGGCAATTTCATAGGAGATATCTTTAATGGTGTTTTGACACTCCGTAGTCTAGCATAAAGAATGACATATAGCAAAGTTATCTTTTGTAAATCTATAAATACTTTGCGTAATGAAATTTACTTATGGATCTAGTAATGGGTGCACTAAAGATTAATTCAAGTTGAAAAATAACTTGGATGCTGAGAATGTAACGAAGTAATACTTTCCTAATAATGATGAAGCAATTTAGTGATTGGATGATGTTCATATAAATGAGAAATGATAATTAACTTATGTGACAGTAATGAATCCGTACAATAGAAATACCTCTTGTTTACTTTAGTATAATGAACCCGTACAACAAAAATGCCTCTTGTTTACTTCAGTATAATAAACTCGTACAACAGAAATACTTATTGTTTTCTCCACATATACTGAAGTAAGTATACAGACCACTGTTGATTGAGGTTGATCTGGCAGTACTGCTTCAAATGCAGGAATTAACGATCCTTTCAGTACCAATCAGATGACGGCTCCCCTAAAAGACATGAGGAAGTAAATTGATTTTGCTAGAGCATGTGCAACATGCATGTGAACATCGGATGACAATAAAAGTTAGGGGATTTTGTGTTTTCACGAACTGATCCACCAAATAATGGGAGGGTTGGTTTCGTATGATCAACTTCACCAACTAAATTTGATATGATTATCATATTATCCATTCGTACAACATTGGATGAGAAAGCCGTGAGTTATGAGCTAAAATAAAGGGATTTTTAGGTCCTCACTCACGTTTTGCATACTTAGAATACATTAAAAAAATTACAATATATACGCATTGCAACAGGACATGGTCAATCATGATCTCATCGAAGCAACACATAAAAATGGCATTTTTTATGTGATCTTCGAAAAAATGACCAAACAAACCAAGCCATTTTTATGAGCATTTAATCAATGGATGCATAACACATGGTAGAGAAAAACTTGTAACTAAAAGCATGGCGAGGAAATTGCTCTTCATTGATTATCAAAGGATGGGCTAAAGTAATTGAACCTGAGGATATGATATTAATCCAATTGAAAACCACAAAAGACAAAACATTGATTAATCACTCGATGGTGATGAAATCCAAGTCGACTATGCAATTCACAACAGCTATACTGGCACTCCATTGAATATAGCCTAAAATTTCATTAATGGCATATCATGTACAGACTCGACCGTACGTTGGCAACACAATATGTATATATTGATGTAAACCTATACCTGGAAACCCGAATAGGATTCTGTCACGGGAAACCTGACATTCCTATTTCCCTCCCGTGCAGGCTGCGGCAGTCACACCGCAATTACAGCTCTTCTATTGCGGGCCGTTTGCGGAGTATCAAGGGCCGGAGGTCTGAACAACTCAGATGTTAGGTAATCCTATAAAAAGGATAATGAGCCCGATAGGTACAAGGAAAAAAGAAACTGCGCGGGGGAAGATGGTGCCGTCGCCGAAGAGTAGTCAGGATGAACGACGAAGACGTCACGGAGATGGATTCTCGTCGTTTGCAGAGAGATTCGGCCCATAGTTGCCTCTCGCTTATGGCCCATTCGACAATTATTAGATCCAGTGAAAGGTGGACCATTGTACCATTATGAGATCAAATGCAAGTTGGCTCGTTGGCGGGTTATAAGTTTTAGTGCAAGAAACACAACGTTTCAATTATTTGGAGGTAAATTTACATTTTAGCCCTTCCGTGAAACCCTCATAAGGCTGGAAATTCAAATCCCTGAAAATATAACTCATGTTTTGCCATTATATATTTTGTAGATCCCAAAGCGAGCGAGGTCATGGCCGAGTGGTCGTACTGCTGATTTTCAAATTGGAGTCCCCAGATTCGAATTTCAGGGATGACGCTCGTTTCCCCTTCCCTATCCACTAGTAACACCTTGTAACAAGTTGTTGGGGTGAGCGCTCTCAACGTGATTGCCACAAAGCCAGGAACAGGGACGCGATTGACGCACTAATCTCCCTCTCGCCGCTTAATACAACCTCCTTCTCGCCGCTCAAGCAGTGCATCGGGAAGACGCGCACATGCTCTGACAGACGAGTCATGTCACACTCTTTTTCCACCTAATCTGTAGCTACTATAAATATAGCATTTACACCACCAAAGAAGGGGATCTTTTTCTCTCCGATCATCAATACAACTACTCACTTCTCTCTCAATCTTGGTTCAAACGCTGCCTCCCTCGTCAAAATGACATCTCCCCACACTTTCACAGTACAGGCTTCCTACTCACCAGCCCTGCACAAACAATTGGTGCGCACTGTGGGGCCATGTCAAAAAACACAATGACTAAGAAGTTTCAAGCCATCCCCCAAGGCTCTCAAGAACATGCGAAAGTCGACACCACCCCGCTCAAATCCACCACTAATCAAAGACTCTATGACGCGATGAGCAACCCTGACGCGGTGAACCAATTCCACTTCACGCAAAACCTGGATGTCGTTCTGGTAGAGGAAGAGGAGGAGCTATCTCCCAGGGAAATCCGCCAATAGATGGAGCAACAGAACAAAGCAATCAGCAACATGCAAAGCCAAATGAGCCAGATGATGGCCCTAATGGCGGCGCAAGCTAACATACCTTCTCACACTCTCCCCGCTCCTGTACCCCAAGTGCCCGCTCGGCCACCACTCGCCCTGCTCGCCCAGGAGGCCAATCCGCCCGTGGAATGGGCACCGCGCCCCGACCTAGACTTCTTGGAGCAGCATCTATCCCCGGCGTATCGCGCTCCACCGCGAATCACCCTACATCAACCGTTATATCCCGAGATCATGGCAGAACAGATGCCCGGAAACACTCCTACCCTCCCCACCTATAGAGGGACGACCGACCCGGAGGACCACGTGAGCGCATTCTGCCTGCGCATGCAACTCCAAACATGCTCCAATGTTGCGTTGTGCAGAAACTTCCCTTC